GAAGTCTTCTCAGTCTACTGTATCTTCACCGGTTGTCGTCTAGCAACGGCTTCCAACACCTTAGCTTCTTCAGCTCCCGTGTTCGCGTTCTTACTGGCCGGCGACTCTCTCACAACTAACTCCTCTGTCGTCTCAAGACACTCTCGTAATCGCAGCTGCTCCTCTTTATATAGCCTCGGCACAGACTGCATATAAAACACCTCTACCTAAGGATTCTTCTTATGTTGCATCATGTAGCTATCGCTCGGACAGCGTAGACAACACCATTCGTCTGAAGCTGTTTACGATCACTGCCTAACAACGGCCGTTGTTTACGGTGTCATTATTTAGCAACGGATATAAAGGCTAAAATATATATCCTTTCATTACTTCATCGAGATTTATTCCGGACCTCAGCCAGACACCTATTTCTTGAGTGGCTGAGCGACTGGTGGCTTCTCAAGAACGATTCAGTTCCATGGACTTAGTAGCTCAAGACTATAAAGCGTCATATGCCAGGATGATTGATGAATTGGAAAGGATGTGGAAGGAAGTGATCATGGCCTATTTCAGGGTACTATATCGGTTCTTGACCATATTTTTGTTTCAACCATGCATGCTAAATGTACAGCCCATCTGAATTCCTTTCATCAAGCAGGCCTGCAGGTTCTTGTACGCAGCCCAAAGCATTTACTAATGGGATAAGTGACCGTCATAACGCAACCGTAAGCTTCATATTCCTGCAATCAATATACCTGACAGGTCTTTTGTTTCCTTAATCCCGTAAAACAAAGGCCAGGATAGTAACACTAAAATAGGGGAGGATGTGTTCAAGCCGACGGCAGTTCATATAGGATCAGTGGCGGACAAAGTACCGCTGAAGCAGGATTTTCTCCAAATGCTTCGGATTTCCCTCGACAATTCCCATTCCATCCACGCTATATTCTCTCAGCTGTTACCCAGGGACGGTGTAACAGGCCCATTTACGGCCTCAGTACCAAGAGGCTCAGCCATACCCCAACCAATTAATTAGACATATTAAAATAGAATACTCCAAGACCACTACATATCAAATCCGTCATTTTTCATAAAACAATCACCCAGCAATTTCTCACTGAATGTCATTTGACGTCTATAGTTCGAGAAGCGGCTGCACATGTTATTTGAAACTGTTAAATAAATTAACCTAGAAACTAAATCTAACAAGCATTTTTAGTTCATTCCTGGTTTGTGAAAAGACGCTTTCAGGTCAGATTGTAGTCTACGGCGTCAATGACTGGTTTCAAATATACAGGAAAGAATGTAGAAGGAAGAGGTCTCGACCTAATTTGAGGTATTATCTCTGCAATTGTCTGGAGTGACTACGGAAAACCACGAAAACAAGTCGTGATAATCGGCATGTAGCCCGAGATTCAAACCCGAGACCTTCGGAGTGCGAATCAGGAGTACCACCCACTCGACTACGATGTACGGTTCAATATTTCGCCATGCTTGAGTCTGCATGGCCACATGTGGGAAAATAGGACGAGAGACAAGTAGATGAGATTGACACTAAATTAGAAGAGTTTTTTTTTTTAATTCGCATAGTGGGGGATGGAGTCCAGCTGGGTCCACTCGATACGTCGGCCACTTAATGGCCTATTGTACCTACCTCGGGTGATTATGATGATGGAGAATTTGGTGGAATGAAGATTGGCAGGGGAAACCGAAGTACTAGGAGAAAACCTGCCCCAGCGCCACTGTCCACCACAAATCCCACTTGACCAGACCCGGGCTCGAACCCGGGCCTCCGCGGTGGGAAGCCAGCAACTAATCGCTTGAGTTATGGCGCGGCCTTAGGAGATTTCTCACTATAACCTACCTACACGTTACAGCAAAATGTAATGAACCAGAAAGAAATTTCACCTTAATTACACTATAACTTTATATGAAGGTATTCAAATATTGATTATTCCGTGTACAGAGTAGATAAGCCTGTGAAATTATAGCCTAGCTCAAGTTTGGAACCACAGAGCTCTTAACAGGGAGTCTACACCCAGGATGCGTATAGGAACATTTCCATTGTCAGTGTGTTATTACTATTATAACCAATAAAATTTCTCTATTGATGCCTACACTGAAATGTACTAATGACAGTCCTCTGCACTACATACAATAAGTTTGTCCTGTACAGTTTAATGAGGCATGCTAATGTCGTTGGATCGCGGCCCATTTCGGTTGAATTGGGTCTGCCGGAAAACATTCATTACACCAAGAGATTAGCAGCGAAATTGCGTGGCACAGTACGCAGGCTATGCTACTCCGTCCAGCCGCTAGGCTCCTTTTCCATGAGAATTTGAGGCGCGCCATTCTTGTGTGCGTCTTAGTCCATCACTGATACAAAAGAAGCTGTTTTCACAAAGTCACATAACTGATCAATGGATCGTTCAGACATATCACTTTCTGTGGAGATCCACTGATCGTGTGGTTGTGTGGCAATAATTTCATTTAAATCATTGGCTCACTAAGTCGCACCATAAAACACTCGTGGAAAACCAGCCTTAGGGTCACAGTGACGGTCACAGTGGACGCGTGGTCTAAGGTATGAACTGTCTTTGCTCGTTCGAATGCTAGGATAGTGGGTTCGAATCCCATCCAAGGCATGGATGTCTGTGTGCGTTTATTCTGTGCGTAGATATCGGCCTTGCGACGGGCTGATTCACCGCCCAAAAAGTCCTACAGAATGTGTATAGGATTAAGATCTGTTTTGCCAGCGATGATTTTCAGTGTATGACAATTTAAACGCCATGTCAAGACGGTTCAGGGACATTGATGTAAGGAACCGATATCGAAGACTGTTTCCGTGGGTAGGCATGTATAACAAACAAGACAGGAAGGATAAATTTGCCATTCAATTCGGTTGCGCAATTTCAAGAGTAAAAAAATCGTTATTTGATTTCCGAAAGGAAGTTATTGCAGATGTAACAACAGCGGACCGGACATTTGGGACATGAGTGTTCACGTCCGATTACATGGCGTCTTATTGATTCAGCTATAAACACAATGGGAGAACAGAGCAGGTTCTAAAAGCACTGGCATTTACAATTCTGATGACAAACACTGCAGGCCCTTACAGCAGCACAGAATCGATACTGAACACTGCATTAAGGAAGAGCTGCATGGTTAGTCACCTACTGAACGACGTTAACGTCTGCAGAGGTCATCTGGCGTCTACTGAAGCGATGCGACATTATGCACATTATGCATCTGCAACTGAACATCACATAACGCTTCAGTACGACGGGTCAGNAGGTCTCAGCATCGAATCTCGATGAGGGGAACATTTTCAACTGACATAAACCTTCCAGCCGCACTATGGCCCTGAGGTCAAATGAGTACCAGGAATATTCTTGGGGGTAAAGGGCAGCCGGCGCGTAAGGCTGACAACCTTACCGCCATTTATGAGCCGACTGTTTAGAAAATGTGGGAACCTCAACATCTCACAACCCTATGGGCCTCTTCGGCCTGCTACAGGAATACCTTTACTTTTGTACTTTATGGAAATTAATCTTTGGCTTCCATAAAGTACTGGGAACTTCTTGACTAGCTAAACGACTATTAACTTCTCACGAAGGACTTTGCTCCATGCCGCTGTAAATATTTTATAATCTGATTACGAAACACGATAAAATTCAAACAAATATTTAAACTTCCTTTAAGAAACGTGTCACGGAAAGGAGAAATGCAGGCCTACATGACCACATACCTATCGTGTTAATGTCCACTATTTGTATCGGAAATGTTTAGGTTATGAGTGTACGCTATTCAACAGGAACGTTTACTGAACACACGCAAGAAATAGGCTGAGAGCGGCCGAATTCGTGAGTTGTTACAGAGTCAAACAAACAACATTTAATAAAATTCAACAAAAGGTTCGGGACTTGAGGGCTATGAAGAACGGACCGACATACGTACGACACAACCATAAGGCGGACAACAACGTCCAAATATATCGGACTTTGCAGACATTATAAAAAAAATTGCTGAAACAAAATTTAGGATTGAAGAAAGCTCCGTCCGTCTATCTATCTATCTATCCAAACATACGTCCGTCTGCCTACCTGCCTACCTATCAATCCACCCAACTACACACCTATCTGTTGCTCCCACTTGGAACACAGGGCCTCAGTGAGACGCTTCGTTTCACTTCAGTTTCTTAACCTTAGACAGTCGGTAGGACTCCTCTGACGAAGGATTAGCCCGTCGCAAGACCGCTGCCTATACGCAGGACAACATAAACACAGAATAAACGTAGACAAACATGCATGCTTTGAATGGGATTCGAACCCACGATCCCAGCGTTCGAGCAGAAGACATTTCTTTCCTTAGACCGCGGGGCCAGTGTAACAGGAGGCAACTTAATACCTATATTATTGAAAGAAGGAATCAAGCGGCCTCGAAGCAAGGTCCACTTAACACTTTCCACAGCCTACCTGAGGTTTCACATTAAAATTAAAACTAAATTCTGTGGTTTTAGTCCGCAAGCGAACTATACCGACCGAGAGGCCGCCACTTGTCGGCGAAGTTAGTGCCAACTTTAGCGGATAGAAAATGTCGCGTGGTCAGCGCAACGAATTCCCACGGCCGTTAATTTCGGTTTTCTACACCTGAGCCGCTATTTCCTTGGAATAACTCCTCAATTATCCTCACGAAGCTGAGTGGACCCAGTTCCAGACCCACTACTTCTCAGAAAATCTGGTAGCGCCAGGAATCGAACCAGGAACCTCTGGATCCGTAGGCAGGAACTCTGACCACTAGACCACAGAGGCGGTCACCTAAGGTTTCACATACAAAAGATTACACATATTTTCTGAAGTAACACGTTCCTCGTCAGACGTGTCTATTGGAAAGACATGCAAACTTTTATAGTAAAAATAATTTCGAGCACATCACATTAGTATCTCTTGTAGGTACTTTGTAGTTAAAGAATGAGTCATAATTTACTTTTATGACTAAATGCCATTGAGGAAATTGTTCCTTACATGGGTCTACACGAACACGGGAGTCCTTGCTGTTCGATAAGTGATCCCAGTACTGTAACTTAGTTGTACTTCCTCTTTCATCCAACGGTAGCGCCGATTCAAATTGCACGGTGTTCAGTATCTGCAATGAGAAGAGGAACAGCAATATTATATATCCCACTAGCAAGTTATACCAGCCGGGACAGCTCAATCGGAATACCGACGGGCTACGGGCCTGACGGCCGTGTTCGATTCCCATCAGGATCAAAACATTTTTCTCTACGGCGCCTAAACAGGCGCCGGGGTTCACCGAGCCTCATATCCAATACATATCTGAGGCTCTCTCCCCGAGGGTAACGCAGCTTTGGCGAGAAGGAAGCCACTCACCTGTATCCAGTGGCAAGGTAAAATAGTGGAGCTATACCTCCACACCCCCCATATATCTTCATGGTGTGGTGCTTAACGAATTAAGCACAGGGCCAACTTAAACCTTTACCTTTAGCAGCAAGTAACAGATCTAGAGGCTGTACAGATTTTAACAATAAATCGTTTAGAAAAGACTTTAAAAAAACAAAACTATTGCTGTACCAGGCCGTGAAGGCCCATAGGATTGTGAGACGTTGAGGGTCCCACATTATCTAGACAATCGGCTCACAGATGGCGGTAAGGTTGTCAGCCTTACGCGCCGGCCGCGCTTTACTCCCCAGGAAAATTATTTAATTAATTTCTGGTACTCATTTCTGTTAGAGACTGAGTTGACCCCAGGGCCATAGTGCGTCTGGAAGGATCGGGGTCAACTGAACAAATCCAATGACCTCATCGGGACTTGAACCCGCAACCTTCCGGCTTGTAGCATAGCCCCTCAACCGTCGCAAGACCCCTATCTATACACAGAACAACACTTACACACAATAAACACATACACGTACACATACCAAATATCCATGCCTCGGGTGGGAGTGTTCGAGCGTGCGAATACAGTTCCTGCTTCAAACCGCGCGGCCACCGCGATCGGCATGGCTTATCATATTATACAAAATTATGAAAATCTCTAAAAAAATCTGTCAGAATAGATAGCCCGTCCGAGATTCGAACTGGGTATGTCGAAAACAGGAACGTAGACTGTTGCTGCTATATACTACTAACCCGCTCCGTAAAAATCTAGTTTATTTATTTCTTTATTTGCGACTTTCCTAATGCAGACAGGCACTGGAGACATGAAGCACTTGGTAACGTGGTTAGTTATTTTATCAAGAACTTGTAATGAAGCTAATCAGATTGGAGCTAGAAGTCACGAAATTATTTACGAAAAATAACTGTTCTAAATATTCTTGAAGTATTAATAACCTGAGAAATACATTTTCCTCTCATTTAAATTGACGTCTTATCAGACTGTCGCGTTGGCTATGTCCACACTGTATTACATGCACTGAGCCTTGAGTTTACTTGCCAACACGCAACACGCGTTTCCTCAATTGCCATAACAAGTCTATACGGTGTACTCCTGGAAGCGCTGCAACACACACTACACATCATCATCTCCAGTCATGGACATATGTTGACTATATATGGCATTGAGTAATGGACGATAAACAGGGGCATGACCGTTAATACAAAATCAACTCACGTTTAAAAATTGTACACGGAATTCAATTCATGAATACAACCATTTTAAAAAACATCGACCCTCACATATAAACATCGGAATTCACTGTGGATGTTTGAGCAGAATGACTCCCTCGCCAGATGACTGTCTCGCGTCATGCAGTGTTGCTTATTTAACGACGCTGTCAGTATCGAGATCGCACAGGTTCGTTGATACGCTGGTTAATGAATATGGAGCAGTTGGTGGAGTGGGGATTGGCAGAAGAAACCGAAACACTCCCAGTACAACATTGTCTACCACAAATCCCACATGACTTGAGCGCTGGAAAGCCGGAAACTAACCGCCTGAGCCATGGTTAGTCGCTGGATTCCCACCGCGGCGGCCCGGGTTCGATCCCGGATCTGGTCAAATAGGATTTGTGGTGGACAAAGTGGCACTGGGGCGGGTTTTATCCGAGTACTTCGGTTTCCCCTGTCAATCTCCATTCCACCAACTGCTCTATCATCATAATCACCCGGGGTAGGCTACAATAGGCCAAACAGTGCCCGCCGTGCCGAGTGGACCCAGTTGGACTCCACCCCCCACTAAGCGAATTAAAAAAAAAAAATAAAAAACCGCCCGAGCCATGGCACGACCTGTCTGCCTCGCACTTGAGAGATGTGTGGATGGATTTAAGGGCTCGTAACTGCCTGTCTTGAGGACAAATTCATGGATAACAGGCTACTTAATGGCGCTGTATTGATTGCAGTGGTTATTCTGCGTCGAGTGATAAGGTAGGATAATCGTAATCTGTGAATTCAAAAGGAGTATGAAACATTCGTGGCCTATTTCAAGGATATCTGCTCTTCGTCCTCTATATTCAGTACTATAGTTATGCCCAGCTGCCCTACACAAAAAAAAACCTATTTCTATACAATCTCTTTATTTGACCGTCACAACACAGCAAATATAGAACTTCAAGGACAATGCTCAGTATAGTTCTGCTACATGTTTCGGCCACGAGTAGCCATCATCAGGCAAACACACTTCAACAATCGTACACCACTGAACTGCAGTACGTAAAATTTGATACAATGTTATAAGTCATTTAAGTTAATTTGCACAAGAATACAATAAGTAGGTTATTTAAAACAATACCAAGTCATATCTAAAATTAAAATTTGATTGATATTTAGTAACATCGAATCGGTCGTTGGTTTTACTTTTCANAAAATGTATGAAAAGTAAAACTAACGACAGATTCGATGTTACTAAACATCAATCAAATTTTAATTTTAGATATGACTTATTATTGTTTTAAATAACCTATTTATTGTATTCTTGTGCAAATTAACTTAAATGATTTATAACATTGTATCAAATTTTACGTACCGCAGTTCAATGGGATACGTTTGTTGAAGTGTGTTTGCCTGATGATGGCTACTCGTGGCCGAAACATGTAGCAGAACTATACTGAGCATTGTCCTTGAAGTTCTATATTTGCTGTGTTGTGACGGTCAAATAAAGAGACTGTATATATTGCAACACGGTAGGATGCATGAAATTAAAATTAAAAAAATTAAAACCTATTTCATTGCCTTAATTGCAATTTCTACGGCAAAGCTGTATGACCATCTGAACCATGGATAAAATACTGTCTTGATGAAACTTAGTTCTCAGCATCTCAACTACAGTGGCACTAATGTTTCGTTTTATTCCGCAGTATAACTTACACAAACATATATCGTGCATAATTTTGTTTAGTTATGTAGCTGCCTACTTCGCAACGATAAATGATGCAACTGTATCTTACACTGTACCAGGCTCACCAATATGGGGCGGGGGATAAGTTGCTAAGTCTTAGGGAGCAGTAAATTTATTGTCGCACTGTCTCATTTCAATAATTTAAAATGGCCAACTCCCTACCAGGTAGACGCCATCACCTGAAACTCTAACTTCGTGGCTTTTAGTCCGCAAGCGAACTATATCGAACGAGCGACCGCCGCTTGTCAGCGAAGTTAGTACCAATTTTTGCGGATAGAGGGTGTTGCGTGGTCAGAGCAATGGATTCCGACGGCCGTTAATCTCGGTTCTCTAGATCGGAGCCGCTATTTCCTTCAAATAGCTCCTCAGTTATCCTCACGAGGCTGAGTGGACCCCGTTCCAAACCCAATACTTCACACAAAATCTGGTAGCACCGGGAATCGAACCCAGGACCTCTACATCTGTAGCCAGGAATTCTGACCACTAGACCATAGAGGCGGTCTGCTATTAAAAAATTCTGTTACACTGGAATCTGAAGGGACAAAAGCCTAAGGCAGGCTGTTCGATTCGATCAGAGAAAAATACACAGAGCGGGCACAGTATATCTCTATTCCTCGTTACGGAAATGCAAACCTGTTCAGGATGTGTTAATTACAAGAGGAAAAGAAAATAGGTTACAAATATGTATTCCTTCAGGAACTCTTGCCGCGGTCTGGAGCTAGCTAAACGAACCTCGGAGCCCTAGCAGAGCAAAAAAGCATTCGCTGTGTTTGGTGATAGTGTGCGGCAGTCTGAAAACGGGGAAAGCACCGGACGCAGTAAGAGCGAGTAATCGACCTCCAGAGCCCTGCAGTCTACCCGCCTCAAACGATAAGTCGATATCAGACAACATTACTACTATTTAAGTAAACACAGGAGCTTCAAGGACACTCCGGATACCTGTCTGCTGATCGATTCCAGACAGACCGAATATGATCAGCTGCAACTGTATCTGACGTTTAAGATTTACGTCTCACTTCCTGCCTTTGTTATTGTCATAATATGGTGGACTGCTGCAGTAGAAAGTAAACGCTGAAATCAGCGATTTGCGGTCCAAGGTGCCGGCATAAGCTCGAGAAACATTTATCGGAAGGATGAAACTGGGCTTCATCCCTTTAAAGCATGAAGATTGAAGAACGAGAGTGATACAAAGTACTGTAGAAGAGTATGTGAGAGTTAAAAATCATGGGAGAAGATAAAGTAAAGGTAAAGTTGTACCCGTGCTTAATTAAGTAAGCACTACGCTATGAATACATACGAGGGAGTGGAGGTATGGCTCCACCATTCTTGACCTCAGCACTAGATGGAGGTGAATGGTCAGTTTCAAGCCCCGGCCACTTTCTCCGGGGAAATTATCCTTTGTACCCATTGGGTACGGGAGTACGCCGTAGCGTAGCTGGTTGAGACACTATGCTACAAGCCGGAAGGTCGCGGGTTCGATTCCCGATGAAGTGGATTTCTTCAATTTACCTAATGCTTCCAGCCGTACTATCACCCTGGGATCGACTCAGTCTCTAACAGAAATGAGAACCAGGAATATTCTTGGGGGTAAAGGGCGGCCGGCTTCGTAAGGCTGAGAACCTTACCGCCATCTGTGAGCCGATCGTCTACATAATGTGGGAGCCTCGACGTCTCACAGCCCTATGGGCCTTCACGGTCTGTTACAGGGACAGCTTTACCTTACCCATTCGGTAAGAGGATGGGTGGTCTCGGGGCCCGTCTGGACGTTGTGAAGAGACAAATCTTGCCACTGT